AAGCTGATTATCTCGTTTTTTTAGAAGAAGTTATCACTCCCAATTGGGATAAGGATTGGATACTTCTAGAGGATAATGATAATGCGCATGGCACTCGTGGCAAGGCCGAAAACAAAGTCAAAAAGGCCAAAGCTCGTCTAGGGATCCAATGGGAAGCTAATTGCCCAGAATCGCCAGATTTGAACCCTATTGAGAGTATCTGGAGGTTGTTGAAGCAGAGGCTAAAGAATCGAGGCCTTATTACTGATCCAGAGGAGCTGCGGCGGGCAATTGAGGAGGAATGGGATAAAATAACTCTGGAGGAGATCAATAAGGCAATTGCTACGATGCCCAAAAGAGTAGCTGCTGTAAATGAGCGAAATGGTCTTCCTATACCATTTTGAAGATAGAAGTAATAGAGTGCTCCAGGGCGGGAAGTCCCACTATTTCCGTCACCTAGCTCCGGCCCATCGTGAGAAAGCCCGAGTAGGGAGAAAATCGCATCTCTAGGATCCGTGGACTCAAAGTCCCGGCTCAGTGCAATAGCTTGGTAGAGCGAGGGTTTAGCGTCTTTCCGGTAGGAGTGGCGAAACCCCATAGTAGTCTTGAACCATGAATATGCCTTTTCTGTATCTACATCTCAGTAGTGAGACTTCCCGCATCGAGTAATTGCTCGATTTAGATCATCAAGGGTGATAGCTGCTTCTTCGCGTAGTAGGATGTGCCGATAGGACACAGACGTTTCCTGTAGGATCCAGCGTCGTTCCCAGTATTGGCGCCGGAGCAAGTGCCGGAGTCTTTGGAAACAGGATTCGATCGTGCAGCACGGACATACTTCCTGCCGGGCCGGGGTTCGACGAGCGGAAAAAGGCGCCGAAGTCATCAATATGCATGTATGGGTGGTTTGGGCTAGTGCCGTATCGTCATATGAATCTAGAAGTGACATGAGGAAGACAATAACGGCCCTCATATCATCCACTTCTTCTGTCCAACACATCCATGTTTTGTATCGGCTTTCGAATAGATGTGCGTCATGTTCCGGATCTACAGGCCCTTTTCTTGCTTGTCTGTTTGGTTGATGCACAGAGCATCCGCCCATATGTTACTGGTGCCAAGCTTGCGCAAATATTGCAGCGCATCTGCAAGGTTGCTTGTAACTGGTGTCTTTATGCCGTCTACAAAGATGTTCGCTGTCATGGCTGGATCACCCCAGCAATAGGATAGAGCAGCGTACTTGGTGGAATTTATGAGATTCGTCTTTCCATTCCATCTCACCGCAGATCCGCACGAATTGGGAAGGATAGTTAGAAGTCGTATTTCATAGCTTTCGACATCGAGGGCTTCGTAGTTTAGTGCCATTGTTGCTGTACTGTCAGATGCTTCTACAGACTCTCAAGGGTCAAAACTCAGCTTGGTGTCAATACGATTCTCTGAGCCAAAGCAAAGATTATTAAATGAGATTGAGGGTGGGAGCCGCAGAAAGATGTCACTTGTCTTGAAGACATTTCACAAATACAGCAATTCATTGAGCGAGTCCAATTGTCCCATGAGATAGCCGTCCAATCGATAGGGCAGCAGAGTTGAATTGGATGACCATCGCCTGTACGCAAGGCTGAGAAGAAAAGGCCACATTTTCGAGCGACAGTCCATCAGACGCGCCCTCGGAAGGACAGAATCAGAACTGGCTACATGTGACAGCATGAGGTCGGTTGGTGTACCATCTTCGAATGCATTGGGTGTTCTGGGCGACAGGCTACTCCGTACAGTTTTCGATAGCTTTCTGCTGGTCTTACGTCTGAAAAAGAAGAAGAAATACAAATTTAGTGGGCTAATCTATAGCTCTACTACAGAGATGAAAATTTGAATGGCTGTTTGGCTCACATAGTCCGCTGTACACTATGTAAATAATTTTGCGAAAATTAAAAAAGTGGATATTTTTGGTGGCAGAATTCCCACATGTAAAGTACCTTCCAGACGACAACTCTACACACATCTACCATACATACAACAACAATAACAACAACAACAACCATGGCTCCTCAACGTGTTCTGATGCTGCAAGTGCCAATTCGACCATGCAAAATGTCATCCACACTGACAGCATCCCAGCGGCTCTGGTTTCGTTACCAGGCCCACTTTGGATGTTTTGAGCGACGCTGGCATTGAGGTCTCTGTTGGTGAGTCACTGGCGAGAAAGATTTGTCATAGCTTTCACTGACCCTCTCTAGCCTGCAGAACTCTCGACAGCGCAAAGAAGCTCTCCGAGGGCGTCAAGCTCGCAAAGCCAATCTCCCTCGATGTCACCGACAACAAAGCCCTTGACACTGCGGTAGCACAGCACGATCTTGTTATTAGCTTGATCCCATACACTTTCCACGCTACCGTCATCAAGTCCGCGATCCGAAACAAGAAGAACGTTGTCACCACGAGTTATATCTCCCCAGCCATGCTCGAGCTTGAACAAGAGGCAAAGAACGCAGGAATCACAGTTATGAACGAGATTGGTGTAAGTTATAAACATTGCACACTTCTCTTAAAATACAAGGGTACTAATTCTTAGCTCGATCCTGGAATCGACCACTTATACGCAGTTTCCACAATCGAGAGCGTACACAAGGCAGGAGGAAAGATTATATCATTCTTGTCATATTGTGGCGGTCTCCCAGCTCCAGAAAGTATGAGGGTACAAATACTGCATAAGACTACCAAAGCTAATTTTCAGACTCTGGAAATCCATTAGGCTATAAGTAAGCAAACCTGCGTACCTTTATATTTCCTTTCTTTGCCTGTCTTAACACTCAAAACCTTCTTGAAGAGCAATGCTAATACTGAGAATTGAAGGTTCTCTTGGTCGTAAGTAACCTGCGCATCTTTATATTCCCTCTTACAGCCTGCCTCATGTGTATCACATCCTCTTTTAGATTGTCTGAGGTGTAACGCCGAGTGCTTTCTATGTGGACATGCACCTAAGATACTGGCTTAACACCCAAATATCTCCTGGCAGAGTAATGCTGACACTGCAGGACTGAAGATCACGTGGGGTTTTGCTCGCTCTGAGAAATGCTGCAAGCTTTTACCAAGGAGGAAAGGTTGTCAAAGTTGCTGGTCCAGGTAAGCAACTCTGCGCACCCTCTAGCTTCCCGTTCTTGCCCGGTACTGGTGGTCCGAATCCACTTTAGATTGTCTAGGGTGCAATACCTAGTTTGGATTTTTACACATTATGTCTTTACACCAAACTCTTCTCGAAAGAGTGATGCTAAAAATCGCATGTTAAAAGACTTAATGGCCACGGCCAAGCGATACCACATCTTCCCAGGTGAGTTTGGCCTACGCATCTTCCCCAACTGTCTGTTGTATCCTGGTGCCTCGTCCTTACTTGGCATCCAGGCTTCGCTTTCGTGGCATACCCCAACCGTGATTCAACCATATATAAGGAACGCTATAACATCCCAGAGGCAGAAACCATAATCCGTGGTGTGAGGCACCCTTCAATTCCCCCTTCTGGCTTGTGCAAACGGCAACAACCCCTTCCCGATGGAGTAATGCTAACAATGCAGGATCACAGACTCTGAGATATGAAGGATTCCCAGAATTCGTCAAGGTTCTAGTCGATATTGGCTTCCTCAGCGACGAGGAGCAGAGCTTCTTGAAGGAGCCAATCACCTGGAAGCAAGCCACTCAGAAGATTCTCGATGCTTCTTCATCAAGCGAGAATGATCTCTTATGGGCAATTTCATCAAAAACGACCTTCAAGGATAACGATGAGAAGAACCGATTGATGGCAGGTCTCAAGTGGAGTAAGCAACCCTGCGCACCTTCATATTCCCATCCCTGGTCTCTCTGAGGTGGCGTCATGGACTGTCTAAGGTGCAAAGCCACGTGGTACACGTAGACATGCACCTAAGACATCGTCTCACCACCCTTTACTTTCTTTAAAGAGCAATACTGACACCGCGGCGTAGCTGGCATCTTCTCGGATTCAAAGATTACCCCAAAAGGAAATCCGCTGGATACTCTGTGCGCCACTCTTGAAGAAAAGATGCAGTACGAGGAGGGTGAGCGTGACTTAGTGGTAAGCACTCTCTCGGCACTCAAGGCATCCTTGAAAGACTGATGCTAACACCTAGAGTTTCAAGGTGCTCCAACATAAGTTCGAGATCGAGAACAAGGACGGTAGCAAGGAGACCAGAACTTCTACTCTCTGCGAGTACGGTGCTCCGACTGGATCGGGAGGCTACTCAGCAATGGCGAAATTAGTCGGCGTACCGTGCGGAGTCGGCAAGTCTCCCCTCTTTCTGAAGTTCCTTCCGACACTGCAATCATTCTCAAGAGGCGAAGGTGTATTGCCACCTGAAGGTTCACTCTTGACCGCTCTGGGTCTCAGACGGTGTCTCAAACCCCACTCACTTCTGAAAAGAGAAATTGCTAACGTTCTGTTTCATACAGCCGTCAAACAAGTACTTGATGGCACGATCTCCGACAAAGGCATTCTCGCGCCAATGAACTCCCGGATCAACGATCCATTGATGAAGGAGTTGAGGAAGTACGGGTAAGTTTTCCTTATCCCCATCTCTTGGAAGTTCATCTGCTAATGGAGCTTTCAGTATCGAGTGTAAGGAGGAGATTATCGCTTAGAGCGATAGAATATAGACCAATTCGTAGGCTCTGGACCAAATCATAGAACAGAGACCAAATCAAAAGCGATCCACACAATCATGCTAGTTCTGTTAGCGTATTTCCTTATCTCAATTGCGTGCCTCTCTCTGCCTAGAGTTGCTGCTTTAACTATTAACTCTGCGAAGTCCGCGAACGTCATTGTTCTACGACGGACTATTATTGAGCTAGCCTCACATCTAAAATTTTGAACTTCAAAATCATAAATCGCCATCACACAGGGCCATCCAAGTCTGCCGCTTACAGCAAACACTGACATTCTCCTTATGAACCATAGCTGTACAATGTCACCAAAAAATTAGAGACTCAAGTTAATATGGTTATGATGAGATGTAATTGACAGAATGCTCAGCATGTCGACTAACAAGCGGATAGTAGCTGGCAACCGGACAATAAGCGAGTGCCTCCTATAGGTACGCCCTAAGGGTACGCCTTAACAGGATGCCCTCCAGCCCTCTAGTCCGCCTTATTGTTGCTCAACTAGGCTCCGCGACTTTCCTTTCCTCTCCATCTACAACCACAACACGAGCTTGAACCAATTCTTGGTTCAAGCATTGTGTTCTTCTTTTGCATTCCTGTTACTTTCATTGCGATCATGATGCAGTCTGTGGTCGAGCTTATCTTTCTGGGTGCTGGTCAAGGTGCTGGTCAAGGTGCTGGTCAAGGTGCTGTAATGTCGGGCTTGTTGCTGAGCCCAGAACTACTAACCAGCTAGTAGCACCAGAACTAGCAGCGGAGAGCCCGTTGCTTGATCCTGTCGGCCGCTAATGGGAGCTAGTACTAGCTGCCGCAGCTAGTGATTGGCCTCAGCACCAGAAGCCGGTTGAAGCCTGTCGAACCCCGTGCGGCTCTGTGTGATTCCAGATTGAGATCCAAGTCCAGCCACTAGATTGCAATCACTACACATGTCCTATTTTTGGCTTCACAGCGTCCCGACGATTCACTACTCGCTGCCAATTAGCCAGATGAAGCACTCCTCGTCAGTTGCCAGTGGGTACTCGTTGCTTCACCAACCTCAATCTTCATGTCTCTTCGGGAACAGGAGAAAAGAAGACGTGTCCTAGTATTGAGCGAGGAGGCGATCAAGGAGAGCTTTGTGTCCAGAAAGGTGTTTCCTCCCTGTCGTGTAACGTATATAATGTGTAACAATTCTTTCTCAAACTCGGAGGAAGAGAGCACGCTGGGTCTGCCCTGGAGAGCGTTTCGACTTATGCAACAACAGGCTACGATACTAAAACTCAAGCAAGCCTCCTGCTATAAAAAGTACATGATGCCCTACACCCGTTCCACAACTTCACCTTCTTTACAGCAAGAGGCCGATCGATTCCCCTCTTCAGAACTTGTCAAGGCTCAACCTCGAAGATTCTCCCGTGACCACCACCACCACCACCACCACCACATCAGCCACCATGAGCAGATCTGCTTCCGTTGCTCAGTCCACATCCCGCCGCAAATATACCAACAAGCTCCACAACGAGCACGTCCTCATCTTCGGCGGCACCAGCGGCATCGGCTTCTGCATCGCCGAGGCCTGTCTAGAGCACGGCGCCCATGTCACCATCTCAGGCTCGAACAAAGCCAAACTCGAGCAGAGCCTCTCCCGGCTCCGCAACAGCTACCCCGACATCCCGACCTCCAACATCAGAGGCTACACCTGCGACCTCTGCCCAGCGGACACCTACAACACCCTCAACACGAACTACCCCAACACCAAAACCCCCGCTCCCACCCCCCTCGAAACCAACCTAATCCAGCTGCTCAACCAAACCACCGCGCAAAAAACCCGCCCGCTCCACCACATCGCCTTCACCGCGGGGGACAGCCTCAAAACCAGCCCGCTCAAACCCACCGCGCCCAAAGACCTCACCGTGCCCACGATCGTCCAATCCGGCACCGCGCGCTTCCTGGCCCCCTTACTGCTCGCCAAACTCGCCCCGCCCTACTTCGCCCCA